TTGTTAGTTAGAAACGAGTGGCTGTTTGCACTATTTTCTGATGTTGCTTGTTCAAAAACAGACAATTTTTCATTTGATACCGTAGAGACATGATAGCTCTAATATTTCTTCTTTACTTGGTTTCATTTTTGAAAAGTATTCTATTTTTAAATTATTTATTATGAGCACTGCCAAACTATTGTTTGAAGTTGTAGTTTATTATGCTATGGCAGCCACAAGAGCAACTGCTTTTCAGCGTCATTATCTTAGGTCATGTATAAAACTCACATGTACATATATTGATCAACAATTTATTATTAGATAAATAATATTATTTATTTGCGTTCGCTTAGGCACAATTTTCAACATGGAAGTTTTAACTACGACTGACTTTAAATTTCTTCATGTCCATTAGGGAACGAAGAAGATGCCCTCAAAATAACAGATCTGCAAAGGGCATTTGTTGTCGCTGGTATGCAAATGAAGTTCAGACTAGTCCCATCGTGTAGAGAACGTTTCTGACTATATTATTGTGTAGTGGATGTTCTTCGTTGTTCACTCTTTTGTTGGTAGACTATAAGCTGCTCAAAATTACAGTGTCAGTGAGAAATAAAACAATATTTTAGAAACGGAACCCGCAATTTCGTAGAGTAGTAGAATGTAGTAACGCGATCGCTACTGCATATTTGGAAGTCAGAAATTCTGTAATTGCCACTAGAGCCATTTATTTTGTAATCTACTGTTTCAGTCGCTTCGCAGAACAGTCTGCCTAATAATCATGATTTCCGGTCACTTTCCACTGAAAAGATAAACTTTTGAAATGAAAGTCATACAGTTCACGCAACGAAAGAAAGGCATATCAACACGAGGCACAATCGAGTGCAGTTTCCTCAGATTGTCGTGAAAGACGTGAGGAATTCTTTCATGAATTCGAAAACGGCCCGGTCTATCGATAAGCGAGCGGATGACCTATTTAACCAAGACTCGTTTAGAATGGCATGCAGTGAAAAGCCAAGACATCGAAAGATGCTTTTATCTCGGTTTAAAGAATGCAGCTGCTGCGCTTACAAAGCTGCATGCGAATCATTCGTTGGCGAAAAATGGAATCCATTGATCGTTTGCTTCAAACTAGCCAATCATATTTACGAAGTGGGCACTAACTCAACTCACGGACAACATCATTATAGTTAAGTGAATCATCTAGCAGAGTCGAAGCTTCCAACTTCCATGGCACGCGACGTTTCTGGACTTCGATTCTGTTCAACGCCAGACAATGCGACTTGCTAATCGCCACTACAGAATTCCGCAGGCAATGATAAACATAAGAGACGCCGTCTTGTGTCCCCGCACTGCAGGCACTTAAATACCATCGAGCCATGGGTTGCTTAAATAACCCCCTATGCGACTAGAAGCAAAGGTGCGGTACGGTACTCCGGTAACACTAACGTCTATCTTACCCTACCACGCTGTCGGTGTAAAGTAAGAAATACATTATTCATATTTACATTGTACATTTTTGCCGTTTCTATCCGGTATGATTATTAATAATGTCAGTGACAAGGCCTTATCGGCGATTTGTATGATCGAACTAACTACGCCATCTGAAATACAGCATCACTGTTGAAGTGGTTGAATATTACGAGTGGAGTTCGCCAAGACGAGATGCTCTCTTCTTTGTCATTCAACGTCACGGCGGCGTCCCAAATAACGACGAGAAATTTGCCGTTATTCAGCGATGCAGTTTGAGATATCCGATGATATTCCTAAACGACTTTTTGTATGCCGACGACGTCCTGCTGCTGAGCGACTCCGCATATGGCCTACTGACACCTACTGAAAGTGTATGCAACATCGCTTGGAGAGTGGGGCTACATGTTAAAGCCGAAAGGCGAAGATCATGCGAATGCCTGCCGCCACCGACAGCCAATGGATATTACGCGAACTGTATTACGACGGATGAAGTGTACCTCGAAAGTGTGATACCCAACAGTGGTGACATTCATCCCGAGGTGAATCAGCATATCAAACAGGCATCAGCGAATTATGGCAAGCTGTATGACATATGGAAGGGCCGGACTATTGTAACCGACATGAAGGCCACCAACCGCATTCATAGTGTTCACGTATAGCTTCGAAACATTTGCCGCCAAGAAGCTTCATGATGCTCGCTTAGACAACATGCAACCACGCCTCAAGTCCTTGAAGTGCGGGGTACTCACGTTTCACGAACGAGCTGACGAACGCCGGTCTGAGAAAGTGATCAGATGAATTGAGATGCCAGCGCCTAGACTGACTTGATAAACTGGCCAAAAACCATAATGTAAATAGATTAGAAATTTTTCTCTCTTGCGAGCGGCACTCTGACCACAGCCGCGTGGAAGAACAACCACAAAACATGAAAAATATCCTTGAGGCAGATCTGCTTGAGGATAAGAGTATGACCTTCGCCCAGCAATGAACCATATCTAATATCAGTTTCAGGTACTACTTGTAATGGTCAGACAATAGATCTTGGTTACTCAATTAAATTTCACAAAGAATAAGAACGTCCAGCAGAAGAATACAATGCCACAAACATTCGCTGCAACGGCTGTGGGAAAATCAGTGATTGGTGAGAAACGGACTTTGCTCAATCATAGCGATACAGTAACGCTCACAATGTTTCAAGAAAATCGTCGGAGAAACATTCCAGCGTAGAACGATCACGGAAAGCTTGAAAATGATTACACAGAAAGGTGGGGTCAAGTAAAACAAGTTGGTTGCGTCACCAACTCTAGATGTCAGTGGACTTAAGCCTAAAGATTTACAGAACAACTTTTCTCTGACACCCTGATTTATGCAATGGAGTTTTCGCTCTATGAAGTGGATTAAAGTTTGAATCTGGTGCCAAGTCCCTGCTGAGGATTAAACGCGTTAGACTTTGGAAACTGTTTCTATGAAATGGAAGGTTCTTCGATCAGTGAGCTCCAAGCGTTAACTTGTGAATGTAAAACGTGATGGACGCTAAGTTCAGAACTGCGCAACTCATCATTGAAAGGAGTATCGCTGTGGAAGAAGATAAACTAATAATAAATAAGAGCATAACGTGAAGTGTGTAGTATCACTGCCAAAACGAATAAGTTGAAATGTTAATGAATTGGGCATGTTGCAGGAGGAACGACCTCTCGCTTGACTAACGACAGTAAATCGCTTGTATAAAGTTCGTCAGATCAGTGACAATATAAATCCAAGAAATCTCTTTGTATTGGATATCCCAGGTTGCAAAACGAATTGAGATTTGGTCATTGCATTATCCGTCATATGTGAGGAACAATGAGCGATATTGTCGATTAAAGCCTAAGCGTTTCGCTGGCGTGAGGAGAATGGCTTCCTGTCATTGTCATTGCTTCCTTCCAATCTTACTGTCAGTGTTTCTTGCACCACTCGAGTGGTAAAAAGCTCATGCGATCGATTTTACGTTTGCTCGGCGGATCGGATCGCATGGTGGCGCTTTGTCATTTGTCGATTTCCACAGTGAGGAGGCAACTTGTTACTGAACATGCTTTATTAACAGTAAAATATAATGGTGATAAAATTTTCTAGGAGCAACGTCTTCACCACGGAGCAGAGCGGTTCCCTGTGCAGCGGAGAGAAGCTATCGATGATTTCCAAAGAGCCTTCGGCCGTCGCCTCGTCCAGGCTTCGCGACAAGTTCGCCGCGGTAAGTGCGAATTTACTTTCTGCCTCTTGTGAAACCACCGGTACTTACCTGCTTGGCAGCAGAAATCTGAATTTAATGATGCAGATGCGGCCGATTGACCGAGTTGGCTGGTGCAACGGTAAGGTGACTAAGGACCCGTTCCTCTGAGGTCTGAGTGCCACCGAAGTGATCGACACTCTATTAGAAAAAAAACCGTTTGATCAACTCACAGTCAGATATACAATCAGAAAGTGCTAATCTGGTTCCACCAAGACTACACCTAGGCGATAGAAAATTACGAATAAATAAACGGCATATTTTCGCAACGCTGGTCAATCAATAACAGGAGTTAATCAGAGGTAACGATGACGGAGCGACTTTCTCGACTAACATTCTTGATCACTCACTGACTCAGTTAAAAAGCTTTTAGCCGTGCTGACTCTCACGCCAAACATACGTGACTCTGACTTGCTCTGCTACTTAGGACAAAGAAGTGAGCAGAACAGCATTCGAAACCGACAACGACTGTGCATATCGAATAATGCAGGAGTAATTAACTTAGGCTTAACTTCTGAATATACTTGATAGTTTGTGCTTTTTCGTAACTCAGACAACAATTACACAATGGCATGCGCTGAACAGGTTTCACAGATTCAGAAAAGAAGGTTTATGCGGAAGAAGTGACTTTAATGCTTATGCTATAGCTATGATTAGTCATTAGGAGGTCATCAATATTTATGACTTATTTCTTGATGCAACATCCTTGAACTTCCATTAATAAAATATAATGTTAAGCTAACGTAATGTTAGACAGAATGCAGCGTCTAGAATTGACTTTCTTCCTCCTATTCTACGGCGTGCCGTACAGGCATTCCACATGGATCGAATGAATGCGTGCTCACGTATCCGTTGAATCGATGTCAGATCAGTTCCAACGAAATCTTCCCATCTTATGGGCTTCCTTACAGCCACCTGCCAGCGAGTTATGTGTTCAGTAGCAGCTTCGCTAGCTATTACCCATTCATTGGTAATGGCACCAACGTCTTAAACGCTTTATTTGTAGACAGTCGGTTACTGTAGTTCGATCGTGTAATCTCTCTCGTACAACAGCGTTTGACACCAGGTCTTACCACTTCACTTCTAACACCTCCATCTTCCTCTTCCATGCACGCTTCTCGTTTCGAGTCGCAGAGGCAGACGCGTCAGACAGAGCTTCCAACGTTCCCGATCCTGTGCCAAGATCTGAGCTTCGTCTGAAGATAAGTGGAGTCTGGAACAGACTTCTTCCATACATTTACACCACGTTGATCTTGGCTGTCCCCCTGGGCCTTCTGCCGGTCGGTTTTGCAGAAACAGTTGCTTAGCTTTCCTTTCTGGAGGCATTCACAACACATGCCCAAACTTTACATCTAACACTGATATTGAAACCTTAATATCTGTTGCTATCTTGCATGTCCATCCTTTATTCTTTTCCATTTGATGCTTTATCGTGAAGGTCAGGTCTAAACATCTTCTGCCTTCTCAATACAGACTGTTCTTCACTCAGAGTTTTGGTTGGCTAATCCTCTTCATCGTAACAAACCTTAACACTTTTGCAGAAAGGGGTAGCCATTAGGAACCTGAAAAATAA